ATGTGGTCCAGAGATAATTTGGGGAGCAAGATCCTGTCTCAGGGCAGAGAATTGAATGAGCAAGTACCTCAGGAGTGTCAAATGTTTCTCTCCAATTGTTTTGGAGCCGAAGTAATTTACATTTTAGAACTAATGGAGCATTTTGCAGCTTGATGGAACTTGGGGTCCTGGGTAAATGTGTGATACAGAATGTTAGGCAAGCTTCACACCCCAAATCCATTCTCCTTACCCCATCTATTCAGGTCACTGGGGAAGAACTTATAAACACAAATCGAATGCATGATTGCATATTTCTTTCTCTACCTGGATCTTCCTCTCTCCTTGCCTGGGCAATCTCCACCTAAAAGGGGTTCTGGTCCTAAAGGAAAGGGAAGCCCTCTTCCATTGTGACTTCTGGTACCCAGAGCCACTGCCAGTATTCTTTAGACCCTGGAGGCTAACATCTAGGCACTCCCAAAGTAGTAAAGGTACTCACTAGTAGCAGGACCTGGCTGGCCAGGACCACACCTCACCATGAGCCTGGCACCCAGACTTGGCTGGCTACTGAGCTCTGTCCACCTCCTAGGGTTTCACTCAATTTCCTGTGTTTCCCGGTCTCTCTTCATAATCCCAAACTTGATTCTGGTAACTCTAGTTCAACCCCCTGCCTTTCTTCTCCAGATTTAACCTTATTTACTTCATATACATTGGGCAGCGATATGCCTTGGACTGCAGAGGACAAAGGCAAAACAGACTTTTTGAAAAATTATTTAAAGTATTACACGTCTCCTTTTTTCCCGATTGAGCCCTCCCAAACAGACTTTTTTTAAAAAAGTTGATTAACAATACATATTTGTTTATTCTATATTGAATTTTAAAGGTATTTAGAACTTATAAAATATTTGTCAAATGGTAGGATTATGGTGAAAACTCTGTAGTAGATAAAGCCTAGAGCCCAAATGAGCGGTTGGTGAGTGTGTCCCAAGGTCTCTGAGCTCCAGAGAGAGTTCAGCTCAGCCCCTGAAACCAATTAAGAGCTTTATCTTAGCATAAAAATAAAGAGGAGTTAAAAACGCATTCCTTTCCCAGTTTTCTTCCCCTTTCATTTTTTAATGCGATTTGCAGTTTTTCTTTTAAAAAGGATCTGTGACTCTGAAGAGAGGGTGGGGATTTATGTAAAGAAAGTATGGTTTATCATTTTTTAAAAATGGCAATAATGGTGAGTTTCAAGGACCTGTTTCAACGAGAAACACTTTGTGCTACCCTAAGAGGAGGCAGAGGCACCAAATTCAATGTCTTGGAATAATTCCCTTCCTGGATTCAAAGATTCATTTATTGAAATAAATCAGGAAGCATTGGCAGAGCGGAAATCCGCTTGCTGGGTTTAAAGGGTCTTTAAAATGTTGCAAGTGTTAGATTGCAAGTCTTTTCTAAATACAAAACAGAAGAAAAGACCGCAGTGTTTCCCTTGGACTTAAAGAAAATTGCCAGGTCTCCGATTTAGGATAATTTCATGTCAGCCACAGAAAATGTGTTTAGAAAGAAATCCTGCATGACAACACAACGTGCTGAATGTGTTTTAGTTTTTCGGAGGCTGGAGTGAAGAGAAAAGTGATGCAGAGTGGGGTACTGGATTGTACAGAGAAACCGTCCCTCCTGCCGCTTTGGTGGTTCTGCTTCCCTCCGGCTTCTCCAAGATGAATCTCAAAATTCGGGCTGAAAAGCTTTGCTTATTTGTCAGTGTTCAGTTTCTCTGATTTTATTATTGCTTCAGATTTGGGCATGAAAATAAATCTCTTTTTTTTCCTATTTACTGTTTGAACTCACTGTGAGGGAAAGATCCCATTCTATTTCCTATCCATACAGACGTGGATATTTAGACCAGACCACATACAACTGAGGGACGCATAAAACAGATTTATTGGTTAATTTACCCCGCCTAATACACATGTAAACCCCAGTATGCCAACGCTGCCAAGAGAGCGTGGTTATAGCATAAAATAAGAACCAGGACCCCTGGGTTCAAGCTGCCCAGCTCTGCCCAGCCCAGCCCAGCCCAGTGAGTCTTTTCCCCACCTGAGAAACGAAGAAACTGGAGCGCTCTTCTGCCTTGCTCCAGCTTGTGTGCAGGAAAAAACTTTTCTGTGCTCTCCTCTTTCAGGCACCAATCTGCTCTCAGATTCAGCTCCCTAAAGCCCCCCGTCCCCCGAAGTTGTTCTTAGGGTCTCCTCCGAAAATCGAGTAACGGGTGGGGGATGCAGGTAATCAGGAAAACTTCCCATTGTTATTCTTGACTCAGGGGAGTGGTTTGCGGGCAGCTGCTTTGTTTTCACATGTGATAACTTGCTGTATCTGGAGATATTTCGCTTTCTATCGTGTTTCAAGGGTCAGGGTTCTCCCTCCCCCCAAAGGAAATCTCCACCCTAACCAACCGAAATAGAATTCCAAATGGCCTGCCTCTGCCTTACTGTTCACAAAGCCACCCGACTCGTCCTTTTAGGGGCATCTGGGGTCGCTGCGACCCACGGAGCGATGACACCCCCTCAGGATAGCACCCTCTGGCTGGATCGGGCTGCCCCTGGAAGGGCTCCCCGCCCGGGGTTTTGGCCTGGCTGAACTGCCTCAGATCGGCCCCTTAACAAGCATCTCCCCTCCCCACTTCTTGGTTGATGATCTAATTGAATTATGCCTTTTTTTGTTCCAGTGACTACAGAGCACGTGTTGGAAGCAATTAATTATCGGAATGTGGCCATATCAAAACGGACACTGGGCACCCGGTAGGTCTGCGGCGGCAACATCCCCCTGCATAGCGCTCGGGACCCCTCCCAACAAAGGAGCAAGTTGGGCTCCGTGGGCCGCCCTCTTTTCTCATCCCCCTCTTTCTTCGTCTGACTGCCCGCCCTGACTCCCAAAACGCGCAAGGCCCCTGGTTCTCGGGATACCAGGCAGGGCTCCCCGGAAACCCTTGGGCCAGCTAGGACTCGACAGCCACCGCCTCCCGGCCCCGAGCCTTGAGAAACGCTCTCCTCAGGATTGACACTGTGAAGAAATTCATACTTTTTCAAGCCAACCACCGTCCCAGGGTTCACGGGGGTAGACGGGAGGTGAAGGAAGGTAAAGGAAGGGAGAATATAAAGGGGGAAGTGAAAAGAAAGGAGAAAAAGAAAGAAAAGCAACTCTTCCTTTTTGTAAAACTGCCTCCAGGGAATTCATTTGCATGATTTAAGCGTATTTGTTCTTCTGTGAACCCCCCCTCCCTCTCCCCACCCAAAGAAACCCTCTGCTGAGCGCCAATTCTCAGTAAACGTAATAATTTCAGTTAGCAGTGAACTCACCTTCCAACCTAAGGAGAGAGCTCTGGATGTAGAGGGAGAACTGGGGCGAGTTTGATGAGAAGGGGTGACTATGGTACGTGTGCAACCAGCAAGGTCTCCCCCAGCAAACGGGCTAAGAAAGGTGAAGTGTTGGCCAGGCCAGGCGGATTGGGGGGCAGGAAGTGAAAGGCTGCAGTTTATAAAGCGCGGCTTGAGGCAGTCTCTCTAAACGCCTCTGAACTTGATCAGATGTTGTTTCCTACAGAGAGATGGCGGCCAGGCTGTGAGGCAGCCTCAAGGTTCAGACTTTGGGGCTTGGCCCTGTTAGGGATGTGACAATCACAGCCATCGTTTTCTCGGCCTTTTCTTTCCACTCTCACTCTCCTGCATTCTTTGCAAATGCCCTGCCAGACAAAAAAAAAAAAAAAAAAAAAAAAAAAGAGTGGATTTATAGCCTTGTCTGAACTGGTCATTATGTCCAGAAAGACCTTGCACCAGACAGGAGGGGGTAGTGATCCCACACACAATCCTGGAAAGTAAATTCTTAAGGGGTAAGAAGTCCACTTGCTGCTCCGGGTAGGAGTAAAAGAGAGCAAAGTCTTAGCTGTTCCGAGGGGGTAAAATTTTACCTCACAGTCTTCATTCTGGCCCCCAACTTTTGCTTTTGAAAATGTTGAGAATTCGAAGCTAATTAGTCCTGTGGTTTGAGAACTGCAATGACTTTGCAATGTGTGTATTTTCTTTCTTGTGTACATGTTTTGTGTACATCGGCTAAATGTATTCTGTGCATATTTAACATTTGTGTGTGCATTTGCTGTGTTAAATGCGTGTATTTACTTTGTTGTGTGTAGTTTGTTGTTTTACTGGGTTGTGTGCTTACTGTTTAGTTGTGTGTGTGTTTACTGTGGTGTGTTCGTGTTTACTGTGTTGCGTGCATGTTTCCGGCTGTGTGCGTGTGTTTGTGTTATATGTGTTTGCCGTGTTTGTCTGGTGTGTCGTGGGGGAAGTGGGGGGGAGTGGCAAATATGGCCATTAAGCACAAACTAAAGACTCAACGCTAGGTTCAGAGGGAAGAGAATCAGTTGTAATTGCAATCGTTTCTCCTTGTTTGGGTATCGAACAGGCAGCAGCAGCTCAGCGCACTGACGGCGAGCTGGCCAGCCTCAGTCCGGAGTCTCTAGACCTTCAAAGCCCATAGTGGTGTGTGGGGAGGGAGCAGCTAGTGGGCCTTGAGCGTGGAACTGCTGCGCGCGCCTCGGGATAGGCGCCCTGCGGCCTATGAGGAGGCACAATCTCGGGTTGGTGAGGCACAGCTCCGACGGAGCAACAATCCTCGAGGGGCAAAGAGTTCATTTGGTCAAAGCGGGTACTGCGCACGAGAGGGGTGCTTGCACG